TATAACCACAACCTAGCTTATTTGTGTATTTAAGACTGGTAATAACCACAACATGGCACATCTGTGTATTTGAGACTGGTAATAACCACAACATGGCGCATTTGTGTATTTTAGACTGGTAATAACCACAACATGGCATATTTGTATATTTGAGACTGTTAACAACCATAACATGGCACATTTGTGTTTGAGACTGGTAATAACCATAACATGGCACATCTGTGTATTTGAGACTGGTAATAACCACAACATGGCACATGTATTTTAGACTGGAAATAACCATAACATGGCACATTTGTGTATTTGAGACTGGTAACAGGGTAATAACCACAATTTAACATGGCACATTTGTGTATTAAAAACTGGTAAGAACCACAACATCGCACAATTAGGTATTTTGAGACTGGTAATAACAACAACAACATACCACATTTGTGTATTTGAGACTTTTATAACAACAACATGGTACCACTGTGTATTTGAGACTGGTAATAACCACAAAGTGGCACAATTGTGTATTTGAGACTGGTAATAACCACAGCATAGCACACTTGTGTATTTGACACTAGTAATAACCACAACATAGCACATTTGTGGATTTGAGACTTTTTATAACAACAACATGGTACATTTGTGTATTTGAGACTGGGTAATAACCATAACATGGCACATTTGTGTGTTTGAGACTTGTAATAACCACAACATGGCACATTTGTGTATTTAAGACTGGTTATAACCACAACCTAGCTTATTTGTGTATTTAAGACTGGTAATAACCACAACATGGCACATCTGTGTATTTGAGACTGGTAATAACCACAACATGGCGCATTTGTGTATTTTAGACTGGTAATAACCACAACATGGCATATTTGTATATTTGAGACTGTTAACAACCATAACATGGCACATTTGTGTTTGAGACTGGTAATAACCATAACATGGCACATCTGTGTATTTGAGACTGGTAATAACCACAACATGGCACATGTATTTTAGACTGGAAATAACCATAACATGGCACATTTGTGTATTTGAGACTGGTAATAACCACAATTTAACATGGCACATTTGTGTATTAAAAACTGGTAAGAACCACAACATCGCACAATTAGGTATTTTGAGACTGGTAATAACAACAACAACATACCACATTTGTGTATTTGAGACTTTTATAACAACAACATGGTACCACTGTGTATTTGAGACTGGTAATAACCACAAAGTGGCACAATTGTGTATTTGAGACTGGTAATAACCACAGCATAGCACACTTGTGTATTTGACACTAGTAATAACCACAACATGGCACATTTGTGTATTTCCACAACATGACACATTTGTGTATGTGAGACTAGTAATAACCACAACATGGCACAATTGTGTATTTCAGGCTGATAATAACCACAACATAGAACATTTGTGGATTTGAGACTGGTAATAACCACAAAATGACACAATTGTGTATTTGGGATTGATGATAATCACAAAATTTAAAACTAACTTTAAGATGTCACACTTATTCTTTAAAGCGATAATTCACTTATCACTTAGAGGTCACTTATATTGAAAATATTTTCGAAATCCTAAATCAATGAATTGGCACATTAGATATAACATTTTATTTTTAACATAGTTTGTCCGTTGTTCAATCTTTATATTGGTGTTAAAAAGATATAGAGGTTCTTATATGAGTGCCTGTGCAAGATCGTCCATTCTTGATGAGCTTTCATAATTCTTCTTTATCGAGTCGCAGACGAGATAAAGAAACATTATCAAAGCGACTGTCGGTATAAATTATGAATGTAGTTTCGCACAGGTGTCGACGGAACCAAACAGTGAACCCCGCTTTTCCGAACCCGAGTTTCCAGGATTTGCCTCGCATGCCTTCGACTCTTTCTCAAGATTTTGGCCCTATAGTTTACCCCTACCTTATCATCCTGGTGTCTCGTTTATAACACCCTTGTAATTACAATGCGAAGTTACTTAAGCATGATAAAAAGTGTATGTGTGGATGGGGGAGGTTTGAACCCCCACTTGTATACATGTATACCTTTATATACTCAACCGGCCAAGTATTAACAGTACAAAAGGGAGAAAAAACCATCAGGTCCATAATTCTACACGTTCACATACAAGTTTAAAAATCTTAAATGTATTTAGAACTACGCCTTTGTACCAGCGACACACTTTCACAGGTGCGTCTTTACAATGAAACACTAACGAAAATTGCAACTTTAGGATCTTGAAAAAAGTTGCAATATCCTTCCTGGTTAGAATAGGTTTCCACGTACAACTAAAAACACTATATAAAATAACTATACACCATCAATGCAAATATATGCTTTCTTCCATTCTGATACTCATAGCATCTTTCTGTTTCACCTGAATCATCTCAGGGCTGAGAAGAAATGAGATATCGTGTTTTATCATGATGGCTTTCTTCGAGAATACATAATGCGGACCTGAGAATGTTGGATGTCACATTCATTGCAACACACCTTGCAACAATGTCTTATGAGGGTAATTTCTTATATTGAGAAGTTTATCATCTATTGAAATTAAATACTTGTAGCTACATGCAAGTAGCAACACATACAAGTCTTCCATGCAAATGGAGGTGCGAATTCACATTAACAAATTAAGATAAGATCCACAACATGTTATCAAATGGTTAAATGCGCAATATGTGTAGATATGTTTTCTTTAATAATGTGTGAGGAGGCCTTTCAGGCAATTTTCGAAAACGTAGTGAGAACAAGTTTGGTGTAGAGGGGAGGGGGATATCCCCCACCTCGGTCTCTCTCTAATGCCTAGGCCACATATGCGCCGGGCGCCGGCCGATGAGTAGTCATCGGCCGATTTCTAAATCAGTTTCGACAAAAATTATGTAATTTGGCAATTTTAGTAACAAAACATGAAGGTACATTATGTAAAATTTGAAGAAAATTGGTGTATATTTAACAAAATACCAGCACCAATCCTGTTACTTTTTGAACACCCTGTACCCTCTGAAGTGGTAAAAAAACTAAAATGAATCTGATATACACATAATCACAAGTGAATCATCTATCAATACATCACTCTCATTTTAATAATGACAATTCTAGATTTTGATTTATATCAAAAGTGCTCAATTCAACAGGTGCATTTGGATTTGTGAAATGCAACCTGTGTAAGGGTAAGTTATCTTATAAAAGGTAAATGACATTCTATATAAGTTGCCCTAGTCATTCCACAGTTCCAGGTGTTCTTTTGTGGAGCCCATGACTTGCCCCATCATACGTGGAAATGAATTCGACAATCTTGGACATCTTTCTTTCAGTCCATGGACTCTAAAATAACAAGAATTTGCATTGTCGGGACAGTAAAATTGGTTATTTTGAATGCCGCCTCTTGTATTTTTCATCTGCCTCTTGTACACAAAGTTACTGAAACCACTGACATTTGTGTATGTGAGACTGGTAATAACCACAACATGGCACATTTGTGTATTTGAGACTGGCAATAACCACAACATGGCACATTTGTGTATTTAAGACTTGTAATAACCACAACATGGCACATTTGTGTATTTCCACAACATGAAACATTTGTGTATGTGAGACTAGTAATAACAATTATGTATTTCAGGCTGATAATAACCACAACATAGCACATTTGTGGATTTGAGACTGGTAATAACCACAAAATGACACAATTGTGTATTTGAGATTGATGATAATCACAACATGGCACATTTGTGTGTTTGAGACTGGTAATAACCATAACCTGGCACATTTGTGTATTTGAGACTGGCAATAACCACAAAATGGCACAATTGTGTATTTAAGACTGGTTATAACCACAACATGGTACATTTGTGTATTTGAGTCTTGTAATAACCACAACATGGCACATTTGTGTATTTGAGACTGGTAATAACCACAACTCGGCACATTTGTGTATTTGAGACTGGTAATAACCACAACATCGCACAATTAGGTATTCGAGACTGGTAATAACAACAACAACATACCACATTTGTGTATTTGAGACTGTTTATAACCACAAAATGGCACATTTGTGTATTTGAGACTGGTAATAACCACAACATAGCACATTTGTGTATTTGAGACTGGTTATAATCTCAACATAGCACATTTGTGTATTTGAGACTGTTTATAACCACAAAATGGCACATTTGTGTATTTGAGACTGATAATAACCACAAAATGGCACATTTGTGTATTTGAGACTGGTAATAACCACAACATAGCACATTTGTGTATTTGAGACTGGTTATAATCTCAACATAGCACATTTGTGTATTTGAGACTGTTTATAACCACAAAATGGCACATTTGTGTATTTGAGACTGATAATAACCACAACATGGCACATTTGTGTATGTGAGACTGGTTATAATCTCAACATAGCACATTTGTGTATTTGAGACTGTTAGTAACCACAAAATGGCACAATTGTGTATTTAAGACTGGTTATAATCTCAACATAGCACATTTGTGTATGTGAGACTGGTTATAACCAAAACTTGGCACATTTGTGTATTTGAGATTGATGATAACCACAACATGGCACATTTGTGTATTTGAGACTTGTAATATAACCACAACATGGCACATTTGTGTATTTGAGATTGATGATAACCACAACATGGCACATTTGTGTATTTGAGACTGGTAATAACCACAACATGGCACATTTGTGTATTTGACACTGGTTTGACAACAACATGGCACATTTGTGTATTTGACACTGGTTTGACAACAACATGGCACATTTGTGTATTTGACACTGGTTTGACAACAAAATGGCTCATTTGTGTATTTGACACTGGTTTGACAACAACATGGCACATTTGTGTATTTGACACTGGTTTGACAACAACATGGCACATTTGTGTATTTGACACTGGTTTGACAACAACATGGCACATTTGTGTATTTGACACTGGTTTGACAACAACATGTCATATTTGTGTTTTTAGACTGACATCAAGAGACTGAAGTACATGTAGGAAGTTGCTGCTGAGCCTGATTCGTAAATACGGATATGTATAAATACTCCACACTGAGGGCACATTTCTGGAAAACTGTCACCACACAATATTTTGTCTTTCTCATGCTTGGTAAGTCTTGCTAAAAATCTCAAAATCCATTGATAGTCTCCCATTTAGTTCTCATTAAGTATTTTAGGAGTGCGACTCCAAGGGCACCAGTTCCTTAAGTTTTGCAACACTTAAATCCCCTTTAGAAAGCGCTATTCAGGATGCCAAACATATGGAAGCGAGTGAAACAATTAAATCTGGCATGGGGTTGGTACGCAACTGCAGGCTAGTTTTTCAGGGGTTAACCATGGCCGCCAACTTCAAATTTGAGCTATACAATTTTTTAGAAAAGTTCCTGGATGTGCACATGTTGAAAGCACGTGTATCTCGGCGCTTTCGATACGTTTGACCATATTGGGAATTATTCAAATAAATGCCCAGGGGTTTCACTCCAATAGACCTCTTAATACAGATAAGCCAGTTTCCATGGTTTATGCCCAAAGCCAAAATTGACCGTGCTGCACGTACCTACCCAATCTATTCTGAGTGAACCCCCCGGGAATAAATTTTTATGTTTTCACAGGTTTACATGTATTTGTTGTATTTGTAGGTCTGATATATTGGAGATATCTGCTCAAGGTAATTTTTTCGTGTAACGTCGATCTTTATTGTTCTGTAAAGACTTTGACATCATTATAAACAGTCCATTATTTCACCTGCCACATGAACCAACTATATTCGAAAACAACTGTTAATTTGAATTTTAGATCTACCGGATGTTTGAAAACAAGAGTCTTTGTTTTAGCGGCGTTTGGGTCCCCAGCTGTGAGAAGCGCTTCTCATAGCGTGGGACTCAAATGCCGCTAAAAGGAGGGGACCCCGTTACTATTCAGTATAATGTAACAACAGAAAGGCATTTTTATTTTGCTTTTAATGGAACAAATTTGAAGAAAAACAGTGGAATATGATATATATATATGGTAGGTCTAATATTCAAATTAACGCGTGATGAACACGTGCTTTTTTCTCAAACTTTGATGTTAACGTGAAAGAGGGGTCTATGGATGATAATGAGGCAAATGTTGATTAGATTTTGGTGTATTTCACTGATCAGAGACTTAATTCGACTGCTGGCTTAGGGATTAACCTACAATTTATTGGCCAGTTCATTTAAATATCAATAGTACTTGCCACTATCCCAATCATATTTAAATGAGGCGGTAAAATACAAGTAGGTTAAACCGTCAGCCCGTAGTTAAATTTGCGAATGGTACCTTAGCCCCTTTAACTGTACAATTTCAGAATAATGCTCCTGTCGAAATCCAACAAATATATAGCCAATTCGAAGATACCTCGTTTGAAGAAAGCACAGATGAGAACAACAGCAGTTCTGCTAATGAATCTTACTGTAAATGGGACATATTTCCGAGGCTCAGAAAGGTTTTCAACACCAGGAGGCAGCACTTGAAAGACGCATGCGCAAAGCTCAATTCTGAACGCCAAAATAAAACATACGGGTTTCTATTTGTTGACGATGCACATAAACTACTTATTTGCCCAGTTGCAAAAATTGGCTGCTCTTTCTGGAAAGCTGTTCTTTTGATATTATCACATAGAACAGGAGAGAAAAATCCACTGGACGTGCTAACGGGAGTGCACTCCAAAGAGTATCCTCAGTTGAGGTTAGATCCACCCGATGTTCAGAAAAGAAAAATGGATACGTATACCAAAGTTATATTCACCAGAGATCCACTCTCCAGATTGTATTCTGCGTATCAAGATAAATTTGTCAACTTTAATACACTGTTTTGGAATATGTACGGAAAATTGGCAGTCCGATTATTTAGGGAAAATGCAACAAGGAAATCGTTAAGGTATGTACTTTCAGTTTGTTTCACTGCCCTCCAAAGGTTTGGGCTTCTGACTTGTACAAGTTGCTGGCAGTTTTTTCGGAAAGTGGAGCTAAATATATTTTGACCATACATCATGTTAGCCTAACCCGGTGTAAGAAAATATAAGGTGTTTGGCTTTAAATTGGTAAAACAGTTTCACGGCCAACGGTCCATGTGCAGCATGGCAAGTGATTTTAAATAATCATATCTTTCACCATGAATACTTTCTTGGTACAAATAAACTGTTTTTTATTAAAACAATATGTGTCTAAAATCACCTGCCACACTGCAAATGGACCCTTGGACCTCAATTACAAAGATGTCAGTGGGTACTCTAATATCATTTCATAACATATAAGGATAGAGTTGCTATTGTTCTTATTTCTACAGCATATGTTGCTATTACAGAGATAAAATATATCCCAAAGTTTTAGGCTGATAGCTATGTCTTGGAAAAATTACAATTTATAGGAATTTGTGGTTTTTAGCCCCACCTATTTTATATTTTTAGCTTGAAGCAAACAATGCCAGCTTTAACAGCCCAATGAAGTGTTTTAAAAACATTTCCAACCTATGTGTGATATTGTAATACAACTATTGTAACGTACTATTTTGTATTTTTGTATGACTTTACAGTGCCCTACCCCTGAAAAATAAAATAAGCAAGACTAGTAGGCTATAGCTATCGGCCTAAAACCTGAAATCTCTGAAATTGAGGTCTAGCATTAGTAATGCTAGTTTAGAAGGCTTTTATTTTACTATATTGACCTGAGCAATATGTGGCATTGTTTCCCGGGAAATTAGATATAGTTAATTAAGTGCGTATAATTTTCGTTCAGTGACAAACTTGCTTTTTCAGCCCTGGGCATAAACGGTGGTTATAATACTAGGCTTAATAACGTCATTTCTGGGGGCAAAATAGTAAATTTATTTTGGGCATTCGGCCCTTGGTCCAGTATTTCATTTATATATTGCCTTTGAAATGACGTTATTGTACTACTCTCTATCTTGCAGCAATGGTCATGATGTCACGTTTGAGGAATTTCTTCGACTTGTTGTACTCAACTCTGAAATGGACAAGATTAATTCCCATTGGGTCAGCGTCGAGCAAAGCTGCCATCCCTGTGACGTCGACTATGACGTCATAGGTCACATGGAAACATTTGACAAGGACGCAAAATATGTACTATGTACTTCAGGAATGCAAAACATTATCCAGCTTCCGAGTGAAGATAAGACAGCCAATATTCTTAAAAACGTACGCAGAGACACATTTAGAGCACTGTCTTTAAAATCTACGTTACTAAAAGTATTCGGAACTGAGAAAGAATTCCTCGACAGACTAGTTAGTAATTTTATGCAACATGGGTACATCAATTCTCCAGTTACTATACCATTGAACTCCACAAGCAAAGACACATTTGCGCTACTCGAGAAACATGTAAAATTAGAGGCAAAGCATCCCTATAAATTGCTAGCTAGCAAACACGATCCATCGAAGGATATACCGAGAGATTTATTGGATAAAGTGATGGATCTTTACAAATTTGACTATGAATTATTTGGATATGAAAGGAGATAACCAATGATGCATGTTATGACATAAATAATTTATATAATCATAATACCAATAAAGTGATAGATCTCTACATGTTTAATCATGAATAATTTGGATATGAAAGACTATATGCAAAAATACATGTCAAGGCGTTATCCTTGTATAAATAAATATAACCATAAGGATATACCAAAGTTGAATGAAGTGATAGATTTCTACAAGTTTGATTAAGAATTATTTGGATATAAAAGACAATAAACAAAAATAAATGTTATGACATTATGCTTATATAAAGAGATATAGCCTAATAAATACATGCCAAATAGTCCATTCTCTCTATCATTGATCGTTTTGTCATTGATTGAACGTTGATCTGTATATTATATTTTTGAGGGGAGTATTCACATCGCCCTTCGCGATGCGGTAAATATACCCTCATATTTGTAATCATGTGATCGGTTTTTATCATTAAATTGTTGTCAATCAGTGACCATTACATAAAGGACAGTTTTTTGCAGAATGTTTTCATTAGTAGGTTTGAGAGAAAAAAAAGTTAAATTCAGTTCGCCATATCGATACCAATCTCTTTCTACTAAACCAGCAGGTACGCTAATACAGCTCTGCCAATGGAACTTACTAAAAATGTAACACTATAAAGACTCAATCTTAAACAAATACTCCTCGAAAAAATACTAGGCTCGGTTTCACCTCGCCTAGTATTTTTTCCTCGGATAGGTATTCTGGCATATCCACCTCATAGTCATCCAGTATTTATTTTATTATGCACCTCCCTTGGTTAATACCATATTCCTACCATTAATTTACTGTAAATAAATAAAATATGGTGTTAAATTGTCAAGAAATACTTTATTTTAAAGAATGGGTCTACTAAAACAGAAGCCGAGCCTAGAATTTATTTTCGAGGATAGGTATTCTGGCATACGGGATGGTTGGAGATCTCGTTGCTTCAATACTGGATAGAACGAGATTTTGCTGCCAAGTATGGCCAGGGGGGAAGATTTCCTAAAGATGACCTGTGGCCTAGTATTCGGCACGTTCGATGACCAATTTTATAAACAGGACTCATTTACCATTGAAATGGATCTCATAATGTTTGCTGTTGTTTTATGAGTATTTTCTTCAAGTTTGGATCGAGTAACTTATGGTAACGTAACGTATGGTAATAGACCCTGCAGCTCTTAACCAATCAGATTTGAGTATTTTTATGAGGTGCATAATAAATTCATATATAGGTTTTATAACAACGCACAGTATATGAAGCATAGCTATAGCAATGCATAACGTAGATCTATTTATGAAATAAACAATTTGTACTAGGTATAGTAATACCCTCTGAATATTATCCTGAATATTATTCCGTACACAGGTTTCCGGTCGAGGCTCCAGTGGACTTGACATTCATGTCCAAGGTATGTAAATTGTGCGTCGCATCCGTACAAAATGTATTGTCAACAAGTACCTTCCGTCTTGTCGTATGTCCACCCCTCCCCCTTTACATCTTTGGTCAGGACTATATTTCGACCGTAAATACAACATTTTCAGCATATGATGAGAATACCAATCCAGGTCTTTAATTATGACTAGTGTGACGTCCTTTATCGTATGCCCAGAAGATATTTAGGGAGATAAGTTGGTAAGATATATCCCGTATCCTGATTTTGAGGTTTCCATATCTAGAACATACGGTCCCTCGGGTAGATATGCATCTCCCTCTGGATAAACCCCATATCCAAAACCTCCCAGTACACGTACATTACCATTATTTATCAGAGGTAGAGGAGAGAAAATCAATATTTCGTATTTTCGTAAAGTATATTTAGAATCTAAGTTATTTTTACGTATTATGCTTTTTTCATTAGGAAATACATTTTTGTAAGCTTGCGTTGTACCAGATCCCTGATCAATTTCAATTTTGAATTTCAATTTAATTGCAATTACTAGAACAGTGCATCTACATGATTGCACTCAACTTCAAATGATGTGGGACAAACTATTTCGAAGTCAATAATGCTAGTTTATCAAAGGGCCTACATCCATTCGCAAACCTGACTCCCCATAACGCGATATTTCACAATATTCATCAGGAGAAAACTATAGCTGGCGTCGATCCCTATCTCTCAACCAATAATGCCATTTATATTATTAAAGGATGTGAATTTCAGCTACTAGTACTACCATTTTAAACCCGACATACACCAATGACGACAAATCATGCGAAACCTATCAACTTTTGCCCCATGAAGTCCTATCAAGCCTTGTGTCATTTAAGATCAAAAATAACCTAGTATGTAAATAATGTACGTATATAGCTTAAATCTTTCCATGGATGTCAGTAGGACCCAAAATAAATTCCAATGGGACTCAATTGGACCTTATAGGTCAAAGCTCTATCGGATCCCCTGAGTCCCATGAAGTCCCACGAGGTTTCTAATAAATGCAGCAAACATGTATTTTACATCATCTGTTATGTATTTTAACATCATCGTTTACTTATTTTAACATCATCTGTTAAACTCAGAGGGGAACGTCATGAGCTAAATCTTCCAAATATTTACTTGAACGGTTGAATAAGCTGTATTACCAAGCAGCCATCTTGTGTTCAGGCTGTTACCATGGTAGTAATACCACTAAAGTGCTCACTTTACTACAATGGCATACATTAGAGGACAGAAGGAAGATGCAAGTTAATAATTTCATGTACAAGGTTGTCAATGGAACAAATCCTGTATATCTAAATGAGATCTTTGAGAAGTACAAAAATAAAAGCATTAGAACTAATCGTAACACTTTTGACTTCAAGCTACCTATCCGCTGTAGCAACAGATTCTTGGAGTCGGCAGTCCTAGGTGCAATCAGTTCATGGTCAATGCTGCCATCATATATCAGGGAAAAGAAGACACTTCAGACTTTCAAAAAATATCAAAAAACTTATTTTGCTCCCAAAAAACTCACTCTACCATCTACCTTTCTTAATTTGACAAGAAAACAAGAAATAATCATAAACAGACTTAGAGCTGATTTACTTTTTAGGGCTCAACTATACGCCCATAACTTTACCTTTATTGATGGCCCAAATTGCTCATGTGGAGCTACCAGTACGCCAAAGCACTTTTTTCTGAAATGTCCAAATAATGAATTGAATTTTCAAACATTAAAAAATGACATTGAATTGATTGCACCAGGAGCCTTTAATAAACATAAAAATCAAGCTGATTTACTTTCTTTATTCTATTATGGAGATCCTGATCTACCTTTAGAAACAAATTCGCAACTCTTGTCCAAAGTGGCTGATTTTATTTCTGCCAATATCTGAATTCCCTCCTCAAGTGAACCTGTTTAGTCTCCCCTCCAAACACCCCTCCCCTATCCCCACCCTACAAGTGCATCCCCTTTAACCTGTTGTATAGTGTACTATTATGATTTATTATATGTATTAATATATATTGTTTAAATGTCCATTTTTCCTATAATGCCTTCGGGCGATTGGAATTATGTATTTGCTAATAAGTTTGAATGAATAAATTCTTATAAAAAAAAAAAAAAAAAAAGCTACTTTAGGATAATCCAAGGTAATGTATGTATAATTACCATAAATAACAACATTTCTGAATGCAAGTGTATGTTCATCAATATCTGTCATTTTGTTGACATAAATTATTTTAATCCACCCCGGGCAGACATTAATGTGAAGAGAATAGCGCTTGGACTATTCAATAATTACTGATAAAATACTATGACATTTTTAGTTTATTTCTAGAATTAACCTCGAGATTTATTATTCAATAATTTGCCGTAATTGAAATCATGGATGAGTTGAATCGTATGTATGCAATATGAGTGTTGAATGGGCTATGTACACTGTTTAAAGGGTCTTAGATTTGAAAATGTCTTTACAGGGCTTCACAAACCCATTTTATACAATTTACATATATGTATTACAAATACAATGGATATTGTCCGATTTAATTCAGAATTCTTGAAATTAGTTCTATATCCAATAACCGATTACAAAATGTGTACAACATCAAAAACCATTTATTGTGCTCACTCATATGGGACCAGATACTGCGTTTTGCCTTACTGCTTCACTGCCATATATCAAGCTAAGATCCCTCTTGTTAAAAGCTGGGAATTATCCAACTGAAATTTTAACAAAAAAGTAGTTATAATGACCTCGTTTGAGAAAACCCAGACTTAACAGTTTAATATCACATCTCATGTTGACCGTGTTGATCATGGTTTAAGATACACAAATCCCTCCTAACCGGGATTTGTTAACTGTATGAAAGGCTCGATATGGGCTTAATCTTTTAATCTTCGACATATTATCATCTCTTATTCCAAATCTTTCATATATTTTTATAATGTACTTCCTTCTAACACTTAGTGTCAATTTCACTGCAGATTATTTATATTATTGCCTATATGTTTATTATTCAATTTGAAATATATCGAGAGTGTTCATCGATCTGCAATACACAACATACGTTTAACATAAACTGAGACACCAGCACTTGGGATATATCTGCAATTTGTCAAAAGGAAAGTGCCTGGATGTACCACAATTCGTCTTCGGATTTCAGAGACTGTCTTGTCTACCTCATAACTAGTTAGATCATTTCATCATGGTCACGAGTCAATTGGCAGATGAGGCAAATGCCACGCCAAAACTTTACAGAAAAGTATCTTCAATTGTTTTTCAACTAAAACTATGAAATGAAGTCTAAATTTGCGTCGCATTAACTTTTAACTCGGCCTATATAAGATCCTTGTGCTACGCCTCTGCTTTAAATATAAATGCATAGAAAGGTATGAAAAGAAACACGATGCGATTATATCAATACTTTTTGAACACACTCTATATTCATGAGGCTCTCAAGAAATAGAGAGAGGGGATATCTTTATTGTTTTTTAGTCATAACCGAACTTATTGTTTCTCATAAGTTTTAATCAATCGAATCACGACAATCAGTAATAATTATAGTAATGCACATTTAGAGATCGATTTAGTATGTCACTATATGTTTTACAAAAGTGAAAAACCAAATCAATAAATACTTACGAATAGAGATTATATATTTTATGTGCAACGTTAAATCAAACTAGAATCTGGGAAATAAACTGTACATCTCACATATATTTGATGTTCAACATTAAATCAAGCTAGAAGCTGGAAAATAAACTGTACATCACACACAGGGATTTTAATAAATTATTGCAACGCAGTTGGGAATATAATTGTTTACATTAAGTGTCATATATTACCTTTCTGGGATTATAACAGAGGACGACAATTGGGCACCGGCATCTATGGAATATGAAGTCATCTTCAACGTTGAAGAAAATCCGGAGATCTGTTGCTTCACATAATGTATTCATACATTTTAGTCTCGTGCTCGGTGAGTACTGTTCGTGTTAAGAATCGTTCACTACAAAAGGTATATATATTTCTAACTATTCGCAAATTGGGCCCAAATTTTCAAAAATCGATTTGAATTTTCAAAAAGGTCACCTCTTTTCAGATCCACCACTAAATACTATACTTTCCATTCTCAATAACAATACATCAGTAACTACATACAGTACATTGCAGTGAAATTTAAAAAAAGATTTTAATGAAAAGGAATAAATAAAATACAATGTAAATAAAAAAGGAATAAATAAATCCATTTCAGTCAAACAGATACTTTGGATGTACAGTTTAATATGCATGTGTTTAACATGTATATTGTACTTATTAGAATTATTAATCAATCAATTAAATCTGTCAAATAGCTATTTGTTTATGTTATTTATACTATTGGTAAAAAGTAAGAATAATTGACAGTTTTCGCAATATCAATATTTTCAAATATTAGTAGTTATATCCCATTCAGTATTAAAATAGTACATGTGAAAATTGAACTTCTATGATATCTGTCAATTCTGAATAATTATTTTTTATATTTGTAGGTGGTATTTTCTTACTGGTACACTGGAAGTTGCTCAAGGTACGAGTATTCTTTATCATAAAGAAAAGGTTTTAGAAAGTGTATTGTATTCAAATTGGTTCTTCAATGCTTATTTGTAGGGTCGGAATAATTTCTTATTGTATCTTATAGTGTTTTGATTGTTTATTATTACTTATATGGTCGAGATTACTGATTTTACATTTTAGCCATGATTCATTATTTTCAGTATGTTCTGGAATTTTTAATAATTTATTATATTTCCCATATTCTCATAAATATGTGACTGTGATATCGCAGTTAACCAAAACAATTCCTTATATAATTTGTTTCAATATTCATCTTGTTAGAGCTAGGATTTTTGAAAGAGTGTCACTTGAACGTTTATCTAGCTAGTACTAAGCACATATGACAATGGTAGAACTCAACAATAAAATATAATGATAGGAGAAAAAAAAATCCTATGAATACATGTACGTTGATCATTTGGCAAATCCTATATATGTTCATGAAAAGTTTAATAATGAGGCGATTTTGAGGATTGAGTAACCTCGCCCAAGAAACTATCTAGTCAAAAAGATAATGTTATGGGCCTAGTGTCTGACATTTAAATAGCAATAAAGGAGTCAAACGCGCCCCGGGGGACATCTGAGTATCTTATACGTTATGTCAAACTGGGGTGGTGTAGTAACGGTAAATGCAGGTGCCGTTGTTCACAATGGCGGATATAGCATGCCTTTGAGTAATCGCTCCTGAATGCCTGTTATATGCACCAACCTGTTACATATTCTGTTCATGTTTAAATGTAAACCATGATCTGACATACAATGCAATGAAATACAATAGTCTCGCAAGTGAAGTGAAAATATGTTTATAAATTCAAATGTACTAAAGATATTCAGACAATTATTGCATCTCAATCGACATACAGGATTACCACAACATGATTGCAATGTACATACCTGTACGTCTCTTTACATAAAGAGAATGCCATTTTTTGTTATTCGTATTTGTACATGTTTGTATCTCATACTTGAGTGGGTTTGGGGTAGATATCACCCGGGAATATATATCGTATCTGAGGAGCGGGCATGATATATTGTATATGTCCCGCTCCAGGCCAAATGCGGGCAGATATAATATATCCATCCCGCTCCCGGGAATTTTTCAAAAGTTTAAAAAAGTTTAAATATCAAAAGTTTTAATTTTTTGATTTTTTAATTTGATTTTTTTAAGTTTAAATGTTACAATTTCATTGTATTGAACAAAAAGAATATTACGAAAATGTCAAATATAAATATCTTGTCAATAAAAAAAGGTGGAAAAGGTTATATCTACCCTAAACACACTCAAGTATGAGATACACCAGTTATGCACGGTCGGTTTGGATACAGGGAATATCCCTTGGGATATACAATACATCTTCCCTCGGTCCCTTCGGTCCCTCGGGAAGATATATTGTATATCCCTCGGGATATTCCCTGTATCCAAAACCTCCCAGTGCATAACCCCTATATATTTGCCACAAAGGTTATATTCAGGAACATATAAATCATTCAACACATCTTCATTTTTCAGTTTCTCACAATTACCTTCATGCCGGTGCGGTAGATTATATTATGCTAAGCTATATTATGAAATAGTCAAACACCAAACAGATGTGGTATTAATCTTACATGTATGTCATTCTATACTAAACTACCACGGATCATACCTTATGCCCTCCAATACCATTCTATATTGCAGTTATGTGTTGCTGTGTTGTGTTAAATTGTGTTATGCTTATGCTAGACCATGCTTTGCCAATGTAGGTTATACTGAGAAGTCTTGTCTAGCTTTAACCGTCATTTTATTGCCAACTCATTTAAATATTTATATATTCATATTTAAATGAGTTGGCCATAAAATAGCAATCGAATCGTCAATCAAAAGTCGGTAGTTCATTTCGCGAAGGCCTTCTTAGTCAGAGGTGCTTGAGTGAATTTATTGCACTGTACATTTTGGTATATGCGATTGGAACTTTCCACGATTGATACATGTATATTGCGATATAAATACTAATTCTCAAGTATAGTACTCGTACCTTTATTTTAAGCTTAGTGCTTCTTTAATACAATTATGAAGTAATATAGTATTTATAAAAGTAGATACAGAAATCGATCGATCTCTGAATGTTTTATTTTTTTAGTTTCAGGAAGAGTCTCATATTGAAATTCTAAGAGGCTCGAGATATTCCAAGGACATCACAATGAAAGACAATCACAGTGAAAACAATTCAAAAAGAACTCCCAATGACAGTTATTGCAAATGGGACACCTTTACATGGCTTGAAAAAGTGCATAGGGCCAGGATGAAACACCTTAAGGACGCATGCGCAAAGCTAAAACTCGAACGCAAACTTAAAACATACGGGCATTTTTATGTTGACGATGAACACAAACTTCTTATATGCCCAGTTGCAAAAATCGGCTGTTCGTTCTGGAAAGCAGTTCTTTTAATAACATCAAAGAGGGTCGTAGAGAGAAACCCACTAGACATGTTATCCGGAATAAACTCTGAATCGTTTCCTCAGTTGAATTTTGATCCGCCAGATGTCCGGAAAATAAAACTAGATTCGTATACCAAAGTCATATTTACTAGAGACCCACTCTCCAGATTGTATTCGGCGTACCAAGATAAATTTGTCAACTTTAATGAAGTTTACTGGGGATTTGGGAAAATGGCTGTCCAATTATTTCGTGAAAATGCAACAGAAAAATCTTTAGCGTAAGTATATGCCATTGTATTGGGGTGATAGAGAGAATGTTCATGAAAATATGTCAGTGCAGTTAGCCTATTTACATATGTATAAAAGTGAATATTAACACTATTCTACAGTGTGAGACAAAAAGGTCCATTTCTTTATATCGATATACCTTTTTTAAAAATGCATGGTTTTGGATATAGATTTTCGCGAGAGGAAATGAGAAAACACATAATAAGAAATTTCAGAAGAACAAAGGTAAACAAATACTAGGATTCGTTTTCAGGTTGATATTCAAAGCAACATTTTTACACTGATATTAATCATACCTTAAAGTATAGTGCCAGATTAACATATTATTCAGTCTGTGAGAAAAAAAACATGGGATGGGAAATTCAATACATTTTGAAATTATTTTCAAAACAAAAATGGAATATTACAGAAGTAACATTTTAGAGGTATATCCTTGGACAAATAAGTAAGATCAAGAAAAAGTCTAATTTACGAAAATCTGCCCTTACAAGAAGATCTATTCTGAGATCTTATTTGTGTCATATGTGGTATATCAGAATGGTACTTTATTGAGTCCATATGAGAAAGAACTTGTCCTTTTGGGCAACCTTTTTTGATAATCTTCCTGGCTAAAATGATAGCACCAAATTTCACTCAGAATTTGGCCAACCTGTCCCGTTTTTCTTGATGTTGAACCAGTCCATCTAATCTTCTTCCTTATTGGTCTGATCAGAAATTTTAATTACATTATGTTATGCACCATTCGTAACATGTGTCTCCGACTGACTGTAGATTTCAATCTTGTACTATTATTTGAGGCATGACCAATATATGTCAAAATGTTGCTTTCAATACTATTCCGATAACTGGAAATTTTCAATGAGAACGTTAGTGCCTGTACACCTTTCTTATTCAGAAACCACTAAATATATTAAATTGCATATATATTTTGTGTTGCAGAAACGGCCATGACATCACATTTGAGGAATTCTTAAGACTTGTCGTATTCAACTTTGAGACTCTTGGCAAGGTCGATTCTCATTGGTTCACTACAGAACATGCCTGTCATCCTTGTGACACCGACTTTGACGTCATAGGTCGCATGGAAACATTTGACACGGACGCAAAATATGTACTATGTACTTCTGGAATGCAAAACATTATTCAGCTTCCAGATGAAGACAAGACAGCCAATATTCTTAGAAACGTACGTAAAGATACTTACGCTGCTTTTCAACGAAAGACTGCTCTAACGAATTTGATATTCACAGAAAGGGAATTTTTAGATAGACTTGTTAGTAACTTTCTGCGGCATGGCTACATCAGGTTCCCTGTTAGTATCCCATTGAACTCAACGAACGAAGAAGCTCTCCAAATTCTCGAGAAACAAATCCAATTGGAAGCAAGACATTCCGAAAAATTTCGAACTGCCACAAAAGATCCATTTAAGAATATACCAAGAGATTTATTAGATAAAGTAATGGATCTTTATAAATTCGACTATGAATTATTCGGATATGAAAGAAGATAAACAAACATCAATAGAGCCGTGATTCTGTAAATTTGTATTATTTTTTCGTTTATTGAGAAAGTCTGTAATAACATACATTGGAATCAAAATCTACTTTTTATACAAAATAATAACACTAAATTAGTATCGATACTCATATAGAATAGTTACATTCTTGAATAATAGTCAATGAACAGTTGTGCCATTAATATCTTAATATTCCTATCTTATCAGCAGGTAATCTGCATAGTATAACATCTTCTGAGGTATCTAATGACCGTTTCAAGTTGTTCTGGATCTCCAGATACACAGGACAAGTTTAGATATAGCGCACGAGGATGAAGATTGCTCTGTACAGGGCGTATCAAAAAAACGCAACAAGTAGTTATCTCGTAAAATTCCAAAACTAGTGATGACTACATGAATTTCATTTGATGTACCATAAAGCCACGTCTCTCCTCTTTGCAATGATATGTCATTCATTCACATTTGGTAATGGTTGGGTGAGAAATCCTTCCATTTGCACTGTGGGTCAAAATCGACTCTGGGCCAAGTTTTAGATATTGCAAAAATCAGTGCAAGGGTTAAGTGCCAATGGAAGTTCCTCTGACTTCAATTGTTGTGACTTTTTCTTTTGGAGCTATCTCAGGAGCATCTGTGCTCACAGTTCCTCCACCAGATATTGCAAAACCTCGAGAAAGAAGTGCCCATGAGCTGCTTTTCTCTGCTTTAACCCACAGATGACTCAGGGCTGAACCATGCATGACGTGGACAGATGAGCGCATCTTTATGTGCAAGGAAGTGGTGGCAATTTGGAGGGGAATAGGATGTATTCTTGCAAGAGTATGAGTATGAACACTTAACTGTCTATGCCACACCTGTCACACCTTCTTCCAATATCCCCTATGCCCCTTGTACTGACTTTTGCAATGTTTAAAACTTGGGTCCGAGCTGAATTTTGCCCCACTTTGCAAAATTAATGATTATTCGGCCAGCCATGACTCTCTGTGGATGAATGATATTCCATTGCAAAGAGGAGTAATTTGGCTTTTTGGTACATTGAATGAAAAGGATGCAGTCAGGATTGGTTTTATGATTTCTTCCAATTTTGCATCAGGCTCCGTACACTGACTTTTGCGATGTTTATAACTTGGTCAAAAACTAGTTTTGGCCTACTTGGCAAATGGAATGATTACTCGCCCAACCATTAACAAATATCAATCAATGATATATCATTGTAAAGAGGGGACACATGGCTTTATGGTGTATTGAATGAAATCAATGCTGTTATCACTGGTTTTGTGCTTTTCCGAGATAACAATCTGTTGCGTTTTTTTTTATACGCACTGTATAATTACATTTTATCTGTTTATAGCCACATATTTTTTGATTTAGGTCTTTTGGCTTATGATGCCCCTTCTAGTTATTTTTTATATCAATAAATGAAGTAAATTAGAATTTGCATTTGAAAATCACAGAAATGCTCTGATGATCTTTAACGGATTTAAAGAAGCATAATTGATTACTTATATTACGTAATATATTACTTTTAAAATGTACATAGTATGACGTTATCTGAGGTATTTAATAACCGCCAAGTTGTTCTTGGATTTCCAGAAACATAGGGCAATTTTAGATACAGCAAAGGTGACTATGGATACTTTGCACATTTTATTTCTAGCATTTTGAAATAGTGATGCCTTTAAAGTGTTACAAAATTGTTATTTCCAGATTCAACATTAAATACCTTATTGTTCGATTGATCTGTATATTAAAGTCATGAATAAAACTGGAATAAAAAATAAATAAAAAAAATTAGTGCCAAGCCATATTTACAAATGTGGTGCAAAAAAGACTTGGGAAAGGTTGAAGTAATTTTACAATAATTGTCACAATTTTGCACTTTTACTCACATCACACTCCATGTCATGAATATTTGCTAAGAGGCTGAGAGACGTAAACATTTTGATATTAAGGGTTATCTGGCTCGTGGCAACAAATTTGAAAAACTGGACGTCCCGTTTTTCAACTCTAAAGGAAGTTTGTACATCCTTTTTTCAGATAAGAACTTAATTGCATATTTATTGTAAATAAGGAGATCTTTTAACTTTTTTGAACTTAGCCAATTTTGCTCCTTACTATCGATCAAAGCTACCCACTATCAACATTTCAAAGAGTTTCTGCCAGCTATATCTGTTACAAACAATAATGAAAAATAGCAAGCCATGTACTGTACAAGCTGACACTAGATCTATTGTTGGAGAAAAAATCATTTATTATTTACAAAATATTGATAAAAAAAAATTAAAAAAATAAATCTATATATCTGCTGTTACAAAGGATAATATACATCAGTGCAAGCGTACAATGTTTGTCTAATCGCAGGCTGAATGTATATTTATAGAAATAGGGAGCCAGCCTCCAATTCATCATCAGTCTGCCTCCAATTTTACAAACCACAACAGTCGGCGACAAACTTGGATTATGTACTAAACACGTTCCTAGGTTTATGTTTTTGTCTCTGATATGTATAGTCTATTTATATATTTTGCAGGATGAAATCGTTCCAAGTAATGACATCATCTGTAGTCATTGTTATGACTAAGACATCTCAAAGTACATAAAATTCTGAAATGAAAATAAAGATATTCTCTAATATAGATAAAATAAAAAGCTATTTTCCCATTTTAAATGGAATTCAGTTTATATGTGCTATTATGATATTAAATCATAAATACGTCATGTGGTTTGCCGTCGCTGACGAAGAGAATTTGATTGAGGCAACACGTGACCTAATCATATGATTACCTGTTTCCTAAAAGTTTGTCAATACATGTACAGGGCGTCCACAAAAAGTATACCCAAATGCAATGCCAGGTTACTAGAATTCTGAGCACTGTGCCAAGTTAGCATTCACGTAGGAATGACACAGTGAATGTTTTTTGTGTTCAAAACATTATTAATGTTCAAATTGACACTTGTTTTATGTTCTTCACACTTTTGCATAATTTTCCATAACTTTTAGTTGGTACCTCCCTCTCGAGAAATTGGATCCGAAGAGTCTCTTGAACAGCAATGAAACTTCTACTTGCTGATATGCATGTGCAGCTTTGAAGTCAATTATATCCTCATGTAAAGCCAGTAACCCTTGCTGAAATCCTCATTTTCTCAGAAGAACTCGACTTTATTGAGTCTAAACAAGTAAATTAATGTGGGACAGTATTGCTAGAAACCATTTCAATAGTAGGCCTATTTTAGACTAAGTTCAGCTTTTTGCCAAACCTTTTTTCATAAGAGAGTTACTCAGCCCCAAGTTCAGTTCAGTATGGAAGGCCTGTCCTCTAACTTAATGTAACAGAAAAAGAATGCTTAGCCAATTACACATCATGTCACACAGGAAGGTAACTTGGCATTGTGCTAATTTTACCACCTCTCACAATGGTCAAGATTACTCAGTCATACATGACAGTTACCTTGGTACCATTTGATGGAGAATAAATCAGGCTTTTTACTCCTACCTTTGTATTTCAAAAAACTGCTTAGGATACCAGTAATTTGAATTTCAAGTTGGGTATACTTTTTGTGGACGCCCAGTAGATAGTCCAAAGGGTTGTATGTCTAATGTTGTTTTAAAACTCGCTCAACTAGTCTAGTACAATCTATAATTCAATTAAGTTTACAATCAGGACAAGGCTAGTATGTAAAATAAAAATCATACCACAAGATAGGCGGCGCCAAGCAACAGTGCTTTGTCTTTCGCACTTATACCCATCGGGACTGAAAAAGAAATAACGTATTCGCATAACCTATTATACGATTGAAATTCAGATAAGATGAGACATTAGATCAATTCTTTCCCACTTACAGATTTTTAGGTCCATCAGGTTTGTGTTTGGCCTTAAATCAGATTATTTATATGCAAACTAGTGCATTTTCCCTGATGGTAATATTTCATTTTTACATACGTACATCTGACTTCGAAGTTTTCGTGGTCCATGTTCGTCTCTGGGTTATAGCCTTGCCATGTCTTCAGGATATACCCCATGCACTTCTCTCCTTCTTTGTCATATATCTAGAATGCATGATAACCACATATTTAGTGTCTCACACAATATTTTGTCTCAATCTTTTCGTGAGGCGTATGGTAAAATCAACGGTTCTTCAAGTCTATGTAGTAGCAAAGGACTTGTATCAAACTATACTTTGTCATATTTCTAGAATGCAAAATGTGCACATATTTAATATCTCACACAATATTTTTTCTCAATCTCAATCGTGAATCAAGGCAATTGGCGGATCCAGGAGGGGCATGGGCCCAGGAAGAAAATTTCGGACCAAAAGTGTAATAGGACTTTAAAAATGGGCCTTTGTGCCCATTACTTGGCATGAATTTTGGGCCTTTTTAAAGCAAAATTACAAAAAATGGTCCTTTAATTCTCAGACTTTCAGCCCAATTTTTGGTTTAAGGGGCCTAAATAATAGCAAAGGACTGGTATCAAACCAGTTAAGGTAGACGGTAACAAACGAATGCATCGGAAGAATTAACTGTAAATTTTGAAGTGACAATCAAAGGGGTGCTTGAAGATTGCAACATTAGTACCAAAAGATAAATAAAGGATATTTCAAACTCATTCAACATTTATAGCCGACGATATTTTTCAGAGACATTGTCAAGGTTACTATATCTAGTATTGAACATATGCAGCAGACAATTTCAACTTACATTTGTAGACATGTCAAGGTCATTGCATATATGCAGCAGACGATTTAATATGTGTCAAGGTCATTACATAGTACATAATCAATATATACACATAAAACGCCATGGCGTACTCTCAAAATTTAGAGAAAAGATGATTTTTTGCATTGAATTGCCCAACACTTCAAAGTACTGGATATTATGAAAAATGGCCAATAATTTTGATTTTATCAGTCCATATTAGTCAGAATTTCGTATTTTAAAACGCCCAAGAACGCTTCACAATGCAATCTCATTTTCAATTTTTCTCGGGGAGAGAACCTCCCAAACCCCAGCCCCCCTCAACAAAGCTCGTTTCCTTCGCTCACTTGTGGCGTATACACACAAAATACTGACGCTTCGCCACTGATAGCAGACGATTTAATATGCATCTACTTACATCAAAAATCAATTCCTGGCAACATCGACATGGGCAACACGGCCCTTTGATTTTGAACTTCACTTCTCGATTTCTGTTCAAAACGTCCAATTTTGCGCCAAATATATGGAACCTAAAATAAACGAAATACACTGTATATAGTTAACTATTTCATAAGTACTATGTATTTCACTCCATAAGTTTGCATACCGGAAGTTCTCATTTTGTAACGTGTTGAAGTTATGTTTGAATGTTTCATGTTCCGTTATATCAATAATTCGGAAATTAATTGGTGTCAATTTGATGATTTTTTTACAGGCTTTGATATGCACTCTAGAAGGTGACTGGTTGCCAAACGTAAGAGACGAAATAAAACCTCGGGTAATATTAAACCCGAGCTCTAAACTAATCAAAGCATGCACCCTAGTATATCACAAATATCAGCTCAAAACTTCTAAAACTAGAAATTAAAAATATATGCCCTAAGAATTGTGACATCATTCTTTAAATGTGTTCTCTTTCTATTATATTACGTCTGTTCCATGGTAACAACAATTCATCGGGAATTCTTAACTTTACAAAGTTGCAGTTATCTGGCGCTTACTTTTGTCTGATAAAGCCCATTGTTTCCTTATTGTAGTTCTGTATGATGATACTATGCTGACAACAACATTTATCAAGGCAACACCACCAGTCACACCGACACGCAGCTCGCTTTAGCGACATCATCTCCAAGTCGGAGCGTCTATCGAAGATTCGCATCATAAAACTCCGAGCCGGTCCACATGTCCAACGACAAAAACAGTTCTTGTCTGAAAATGAATTTGTTAAAAATATCGCAACCTGTGTAAAGCCTTCAGTGGAACATTCTGTCACAATTTCATTTTTCAAAGAGCCAAGAAAAATATTTGTCATATACGCATGAACAGCAGATTGGTATACGAGAGGCATGCACGTTATATACAGTAGCAAATAACGTCACAATTTAAACAACTTCAAACAATTTTAATAAATATTTCCAAATATTTTTCAAATTAGACGTTGGGATGTCTGGGTCGGTTAAGAGATAAATGATTGTATGATGTCATAGTGTACCTTCAGTTGCATAGTAAAGGTCTTCATCGTTTCCTCTGATGTCATAAGTCAAACCAGAACAACACCCAGCTGAAAGAAAGAAGCTCTTTAAAACAAAGAATCCATCTTATGTAAATACGAGATCTATTCAAGGTAAACTGAGAACTCATTTAATGTAAACAAAGAACTTATTCGAACTTATTCGACATAACCCATACAATGAAAACATTCACTGTAAACACAGAATCCATCAAATGTAAACACAGTTTTCCCAAATTGTAAAAATGGAATCACAAAATGTAAATCATTATACTTAACGTTTAGGGATTTTAGGGATGTATCTGTACCTTTTATATCTCTAGCCATGTCTTGAGTAATTATGAGATTAGCCACATCTTCCAGTGCTTCCATTCCTTTGGGGATGTCGTCATCGCTGTCATCGTCATAATCGTCCACTTAAGAACACAAATGGTACAATAACATGGATATAAACATGAACTGAAAGTTAAGTTATACGTAACTCATACCTCTTATTCCCATTATTGGGTAAATCGTGAGACGGCTCATCATTCCCGCCCGCCAGTTTTCCTACTCCGGAGCGTTTCTTTGTTTAGTTTCAGTAATGAAACACTCCGTCGTGGTAAGTGCGTTTGGTTCGGACACCGTGAAATACATTTTATATGCAGGCCCGACTGCCCGTAGCCAGGATTTGCCAAGGGGGGGGGTTCAGTTTTCAAAAATTTTCAGGGGGGGTTCACATTTGACAATTTTGGCCCAAATATGGATAAAATCACTTGAGAAGTGCTCAAAATGGTGTAAAACTGCATGATTTTGAAAGAAGTTTTGGCCAGGGGGGGGGGGACCCGGGCCAAAACTACGGGGGCTACGGGCCTGATATGTAATATTAAATAGCAGGGTCAAAATCAGTCTCTTTGAATTAAGCTGTCATCTTTATTTCATTTAACAACTCTTGCTGATCAACTAGTAGAATAATTCATATAAGACGATTTTTCTTTTTGTAACGATATACACATTTTAATACACAATTATATTTTGGTCTACATTATATTTACAAGGCGTATTTTAATGATTCACATAGATACAGTTTGTTTATTATATATTATGTACATATTGATGGTTCCACCCTTAAACGTATTAAAAAGTATTATTTGCATTATATGTGAAATTTGTGTCTATTTGTTAATATATATTTAAGTTCGTGATCACTCAATGTCTAGATTATTATTGATAATCAGCAACTCTGAATTGCAGTATTCACCTAGGCCCTTGACAGGCACTCGTCCTGGGGCAAATGTCCCTCGTAGGTGCATGTACATACCTCGCCCCACCCACTGACTGTCTTCTCAGAAGTCCTCAAAACTGTAAAAGCGTCTGTTAAACTGATATTGTTACAATGTAGCGAGGGGCCATTCACCCAATTCATCGTGCACCCTGCTACAAGCTGCTTCCGCTCTCCAACCTGTTTAAAAACAGATCGCTCCACCTCAAGTGATGCCTAGATACCTCGCGGCCCTCTCTTTTAGTGACACCCTCAACCCTATAATGAAACTGTTCTCCCCTAGGTGTCGAGTCTAAGATTTGTGTAATAGTGCTCACTGTTTCACCCCATACCCTCATTTGAGGCGGCGGTGTCATCGAAAAGTCCATTTCAATAACAATAACTTTTGAGTCAGGTTCAATCAACGCCATCAAACCGTCTTTTGCCCCATTTATTAAGTGCAAATGATTATTGGTAAGACGATGCCATTCACTCCCACGACCCAAACCAAGTCATCAGAACCGTCCCACAATCTCTTTTACATGGACTATTTACATAAGGATAGTGTATATATGATAATATACATACTTAAGTTCATGATGACTCAATGTCTATATTATTATTGATAATCAGCAACTCTGCATTGCAGTATTTCACCTTGGCCCTTGACAGGCACTCGTCCTGGGGCAAATGTCCCTCGTAGGTGCATGTTCATTACTTAGGGACCCAGCCTGAATAATTTTGTTTTTTAATATTGGAGAGTATTACGCGAGATTTTTTCATTTTCTTGTTGGAAAATATATTTATTTTATGATGTGGGGTGATATCTAGAGTTTGAGGCTTGCGAAAATAAGATATCCTCATCTTTATACCCCCCACCCTATTATTTCAGGGGGGTCAGAAGAAAATAAACTTTAATTCATAACTTTGGAAGTAAATGAGATACGAACTTAATTTTTTCACCATAATTTATAGAATAACATCAGTAATGCAGAAAAAAATATATCAAACGAAAATAAGCTAATTTGCATAATTTAACCCTTAAACCGCCATAAAAACTATTAAATAACGGAATGATAATAAACAACTTTTACTGTAATTGCCTTCATATGAAGTTATAACTTATGAAATAATTCCTAAAAATGCATCTATATATGTATATTAGATGTGCAAAATATTAAAAGTGTATCTTACATAACGACTGTGAAAAATATTTCTCCCCTTACCCTAAAATTGAAGGGAGGGGGTCAAAAGAAAATAAACTTTAATTCATAACTTTGGAAGTATATAAGATACAAACTTAATTTTTTCACCAAAATTTACAAAATAATATTCAGTAATGGAGAAAAAAATATTTTGAACAAAAATAAGCTAATTTCCATAATTTAACCCTTAAACCGCCATAAAAACTATTAAATGACAAAATGATAATATACGAGATTTACTGTAACTACCTTCATATGAAGTTATAACTGATGAAATAATTCCTAAAAATGCACCTATATATGTATAATAGATGTGAAAAATATTAAAAGTGCATCTTATATATAGATTGTGAAAACATTTCTCCCCCTACCCAGATATTTCAGGGGGGTCAATTGAAAATGGACTTTAATTTATAACTTTGGAAGTATATGAGGTATAAACCTATTTGTTCACCAAAATTTATGTAATAACATCAGTAACTAAGAAAAAACATTTTTGATATGCAAATAAGCTAATTTGCATAATTTAACCCTTTTAAAGTAATAAAAACCGTTAAATGACGAAGTGATAAAATATGGCATTTATTTTAATTGACTTCTTATGAAGTTATAACTTCAAGAAAAAATTTACAACAGATATGCACAATATAAAGAGGTTATTTTATATAATGAGTGTGAAAAGAATCTTACACCCTACCTTAATAATTTTGAGGGCTCGGGGGGGGGGTTAAAGAAAATAATAGACTCATGACTTTGAAATAATTTAAGAAAGAGCTTATATTTCTTCGCTGAAAATTGAGAAATCACATCAATAATGAAACAAATATTACATGGGGACAATACTATATTTCAAATAATTTGCATAATTTAAGCTTCAAACAGACATGAGAATCATTATAAGGCAAAGTGGTTCTATACTGAAATTGACTTCACATGAAGTAAGGACTTTGACAATATATCCTTTCTTAATACTAGCATTTAAATGGAAAAATGATATCAACAATTATGAAGCTATTTTTCCCAACTATTTCAATGCCCATTGAGATTTTCATAGATATAATACTAGAGGCAAATCAAACTTCACCCTTCCTAAAGCAAAAATGAAAATGATGGCAAAAAACAATAGCCTTTAGTGGTTACTCCATATGGAACAATCTCCCAGAAGAAATAAAAAGTCAAATTCCATTTCTTTTCTTAAATCAAAACTGAAGAAGCATATTCTCTTAGCTTATTAATCATAAGTTGACTATATCATTTCTTGTTTCTTCAGTAAGAACGGTAGGCTCTCAAGGGAGGTACATGGGCCAACCTGGGGGCTGCTCCAAACTACTTTAGATCTAAAATAATAATTCTGACCATACCAACCTTGGGGAAGGTAAAATAATAACTAATATTTTATAAGAATCACACTTTTAACGATTATTTGCGTCAATGCGGTAGCCTGGTATCTTTAAATAATAATTAATGAAGCTACACATTCATAAAATTTCCCCATGGCATATGGCACCTTCTTGGCTTCAAATGAAATGAGCATCATGGATCCCCCATACCTTTATTTATTATAATCTAACTTTGTGATTACATTCCGGTTTGATTTGTTGACAACATAATGATATACTTCATGATTTAACTACTATATGTACGGGTATTTAAGCATCACCTGTGGTGCCACCTATTATTAATAATATGTGTATACATAATGATTAAATGTATGAATAAATTGAGTTTAATTGAACTTGCAATGTTTCAGAATAACCCTTAAAAAGGTAACCGTAACAATTCTAAAGTTTATTAAACCATATTCAGAGTCACTGTGGGGACTGGTGTCATATTCTAGGTTGTAGGTACCTGATGCAGTGAAATTGTCATCATATATATTTGGGTTAATCCACTTATTCCCGTCCACACTAACTTTCCTTTGAGCCGCATGAACATGCAGCAAAACATTCTGTACCTGCAGTGGCACATGAGCAAGTGGTTTAACATATTGCTTTGTCCTTGTATCGTTTGCATGTGCAAAATGACTTTGGGATTTTTGTTATATCGAGTTTCGGTTTTTGGTCATTTTAATGGTCTCAAGAGTAATATGAACCACTTGACATCCAAATCCATTCCCTGGCTCTGGAATCTCAAAAAGTGGTTTGTCAGCATTCATTGAAATGTATAATTGTTGTAAACCAAAAATGCATCCATAGTTAGTGGTAATGCTTTAATATCATTTTGGATGCTGCAAACAAGTGTAATACATCCAATGATAGTTTGTTTTTATATTGAAATATAAACAAAAATAACGCAACTCCCCTAGACCAGAGATCGTGCCCATGTGGACAGTTAATGGAGACAGAAACTCACTTTAAAGTAGAATGTCATATGTTTGAAAATGAACGATTAAGTCTGTTTGCCTAAATGACTGATATCCATAGTGACTTTTACATGTATACAAGTCTAGGAAAATATTGTATAATAATGAATGAAAAAAACTGTTCAAAAGACACTTGGAAAATGTATGATAAATATGTTAGTCAAAAGGCGTGAAATAGTTACATGCGATGGTCTCTAATAGGTCGGCATCAACCAGGAATTGTTTTAATTCATGTATGTATCTTAATGTAACATCTTTAGTGTGTTAGACTTTAAATAATAATTTTACTACTACTACTAGTATAATATTGTTTCCATGTAATATTTGTTTCATTCTTGATGTGATTTCTCAATATTCTGGCGAAGAAATACATGTATAAGCTCTTTCTTATACGATTTCAAAGTTATGAATCAAAGTTTATTATTTTCTTTTAACTTCCCCCAACCCTAAAATATTAGGGTAGGGTGTGAGATTTTTTCACACTCATTATATACAATACCCTTTTTATATTGTGCATACCCATTGTAAATGTATTTCTAGGAATTATTTCACAAGTTATAACTTCATAGAAGTCAATTAAAAGTCGTATTTCATCACTTTGTCATTTAA